CGAAAAAGACCCAGGTTTTGAATGTTGATTGTCTACGTCAACAGATTCTTTCTACTAAAATGATTAGCACCGCACATTTCGCAGTAATAATTTACTAATTTTCATATGTACCGTATTAAATTAAAATTAAAAAGAATATCCTGAGAAAGACGAGAAATGTGTCTCATTTATAGCTAGGATTGAAATGAATTTTCGCAGCGGTGCCACAGGTCGATATTCAAGCCAAGGCGAAATATAAAATTTCCGATATTGATTTTCTAGGCTAGAAAGATTGGCGAAACGCAGTTACCTTATTTCTGTTACTCACCCTAAAGCCTTGTGTCTTAATAAGGGAAAGTTTTTATTATTGGTGCCTAGGAGACCATGTACCGAAATACACGTTTCTAATGCAAGATTAATGCTTTGCCTTTCGCATTCATGATGTGAATGACCATGACTCTCCACAACGTTTTTTTGTTGTTGTTGATCTAAATATATATATATATATATATATATATCTTTTAACATCCAACTTTGTTCTGTTATCCGTTCGCACATACGCGTTTTTAAACACGCAGTGACTCAAAAGCCCACTCCTGCATTCAGTATCATGTATGTGTTGAATTTTCCAAATACTTATTCACATTTCGCCACCGAGAAATTTCTTCTGATCAATAAGACTGTAAGTATAAATTTCCTTGTATTTCAGTTGTTTTTAATACGTCCTCGTGGCTCACCTAATTTCCCAAGAGCATTCCCAGGATTCCTCAGGAAAATCACCTCATTGCGGCTTCAAATGTTTTTAGGGTGATGCTCACATAGTACATAACACATATATGAGCACGTGGCCGAGTGATTAGAACGTTCGCTCTCTCACCATGAGACTCGAATTTGAATCGAGCCATGGTCAATTTGTCAGGAAGGTGCCTTCTTGATGCTATCGGTCTGGATCCCAGGCACCATAGGAAAGTTCCTGAAAACCATACCACGGGTTGACCCAAACCTTGGGACTAAAATTGGGTAGCACGAAGTCACAGATCATCGTGACTGAGGGGTTGAGCGTGCTAGCCTTGTCCAGACTGTTGATCACGCTAGATAACGCACGCTCTCCCAGAAAATCTAACTAAGCGTAGTTACAGTGTAAACCACAGACGGGCTTTGTGAGTGCTGAACAAACACAAATGTGTCTGAGCAGGCGTCTGCAATGGGGATCAGCTAGCCGCCATAGTAAATTCACAAGACCCAAAAGCCACACTTTATGGGGATACGTGGCGAATATAACTGTTAACCCTAGTCATGAAGAGGTTATGATTGTAGTGATCGGGGAAGCGTGCTCTTGGTAGTGCTGTCACAATGCATCGGTTCGTGGGAAGAAGTTAAACAAGTGGAATGAGGGTGGTTCGCTAAAATATGCGTGGCATGGCGAGTCTTAGCCGTGAGGATTAGAACTCGTGGAACTAAGAAATATTGCTCATCTGAACACTTTCCATGGAAATAGCAATAAAACAGTGAGAGACTTGCGACGTTTCCACAGTGGAAAAAAAAAGAAATTGGAAATTGGAAAACTCGTTCTTCCCTTGAAAGGAGATTATTCGACATTCACTCGTATAAACGCCATACTTCCGGAGATATCTTTCGGAATTTTATACGCCTTCGAATTATTGTGTCACATTTTTCTTCGTCTATTGATCCAAAACCGTGATAGTTGTACCTTCCCAAAACGAACTAGTAGGCCTCGATCGCGGTGATGGAAAGCGGCCGGATGGCATTACCATTTTCTCTTTTAAAATATGGAAGTCGTTGATTTGAGATGCGACCTGTGCGGATACATTTGCGGCCGGTAATTTGATCAGGTCCGCCGTTGAGCCAGGATCCGTCGCCCGGGACGCAGAGATAAAAAAAAAAAATTAGTTAAATATTCTTCTTTTGCTGATAGATTTTTTTTTACTCCTGTAGCAGTGGAGACTTCAGGGGTTATTGGCCCTCGTTCGATGGCGTTCCCTCGGAGGATTGGCGCGATTGCGTCTCGATTAAGGGATGAGCCTCGCGAAATGGAGTGGCTCTTGCAGCGTGTCTCACTGGCGATGGTTCGAGGCAATGCTTTCTCCATCATTGTAGCTGGCAGAGGATAGCAACAACAAAAAAGATTGTTTATAGTTACTTTGTTCAACCTTTTTTTCAATAGTTTTACCATCCATCCGCACGAACTCGTTAGTCAGTTACTCTTTTCCCCCATCTGTCCCCGGCATCCTCTATGTCATGTGTGTGTTAAATTCTCTAAACATCCTTTCCTAATACTCTGTTCCAGACAATCGAACTGTTTCCTTCTGATGGTAACTATAAGTTGTTGGTCCTATTTTACTTAAAACGTTTTCATTGGACGCGTCGTCTGTCTATAGTATTCTTAGAATTCGTCAGTAGAGCGATAACTTTGTTGCTTCAAATGCCTTCTTCCTTTGTGAAGAGATTGCGCAGAATAGACTAAGATAAAACATGTATTTTAATCGTCCTCATGGAATAAAAACACGTTTTACATAATTACGCCCCCCCCACTAATGTCAATGTTTGATCCAATTTATAAGAAGATATATTTTCAATTGATGATTTTCAAGTCAAGTGGGCCGTAACGATTAGGAAGTTAGACGAAACACATAATTCCTTCACAAGGTAACCTTGTGTTATACTGGAACATACCTATTCTATTGTTAATAGACTCTCCCACATATAATAAGTAGTAGTAGTAGCAGTCGCCAGTGGGCTCAGTGGAGTTGGTCAGTCAGTCGATGTCGGACATTAAAGTATCAGCCACCACAACTAGATTGCTGCATCATTAACTATTATTTCAAGTTCCTAACGTTTTGTACGTCGAACCTTTTTTAGGACCGACTTAGTGAAATACAAGCCTCCACTGTGAAACTACTCTATAACAACTTGCCTCATGTTAAAATAAAAAGGTAATGAGCTAAGATTGTGGAGTAATCCCCAGCGGTCGTAGAAGTCGGTGTTCAGGTTTAGAGGAGAAAAAACAGGCTCTGAATATTGATTTTATACACTGAGGACTTGTGAAAGTTAAGGATAAATTCAGAAACAATTGATATTGTAAAAAGGAATAAAGAGAAAAAGAGAAGAGTTATTAAAAATAAGTATAGAATAAAAAGGAAAGAAAATTATTTACAAGCCTCAAGAAGAAATGACAAGAACGATAGGACACCATACAAATAGCTAGCTAGCTAGATAGATAGATACTTCCAGATCATTTTATACCAACGTGGGGGTCTATCTTTCGTGCTACGCTGTTTCTGATCTTAACCACTGATCTTTCCTTTGTCATCAGTTCCCGATTAGTTATGAACAAACATCAATTGCTACATCTACTGCAAGGAATGTTAATCGTCTTCTTGATCTCTCACTCCTTTTCGGTTCTCATCAATGCTGAATTGGCTAAGCATCATACTTCGCAGGACTTACTTTTGAACAAACAATATGGCTGCCGTTTCGCCAGGTATACAGACGACGTGTTAGCAAAAAATTTTTCGCTGGTGCCTGACCACATAAATGTAAGCGTGCTACTAGATAGATAGATAGATAGATAGATAGATATCATTTTCTAAATTAGATCCCCAGAAGGCAAGCGAGTGTGACGGGATCCCTGCCGCTTTCCTAAAGAGATGTGTTCCTGAACCGACTCCTATTCTCTACAAATGATTCTTCGTTTCCGAATTTGTTAGAAGTCCTCCGTTGTAGTTTCTGTTTTTAAGAAGTCTGGGGAACCCTTTGACCATCAAATTATTGCCCTATTAACCTCTTACCACTTTTCGGCTCTCATCAATGCCGAATTGCTTAAGCTACTTACCTCGCAGTACCTCATTTTTAACTAACAATATGGCTGCCGTTTCGCCAGGTCTACAGCCGACATCACTGAATTTGTCTATCAAGCTTTAGATAAAAATGGCGAAGCTCGGGCTGTGGCTCTAGATATCTCGAAGTCGTTCGAAAGTCTTTGACATGGCCTTTTACGCAAGTTCAAGGACTACGAAGTCACGGAACGAATATTTGGCTTAATCCACTCGTTCCTAACAAAAATCGTATAATGAATGTTGAGTTGAATGGACAAGTTCCAGATCATTTTATACTAACGCAGGGGTCCCCCAGGACTCTACCTTTCGAACTATGCTGTTTATGATCTTCATCAATGACATCTCCTTTGTCATCAGTACCCAATTAGGTATTTATATAGAGGACAGATCCGATAAAGAAAACCTGGCAACTGCTTTTGAAACGAACCTGAAATCAATAGTTAACTGGAGCAAGATATGGCTTGTAACTTCTAACGCCTCCAAAACAAAACTGCTTTTATTTAATCACCATAAACAAGATTTTCTGCCTGTTGTCAGTATGGCTGATGCTAAACTCCAGGAGAACAAAACCTTCTTGGCCACACATTTTCTACTGACATAAAGTGGAGTGACTATATGGAATCAATTACTACATCTACTGCCAGGAAAGTCAGTATAGTGTCATGCCAGAAAACTTTTCTCATCAGAATCCATCTTTCACATATATAAATCGACCATTCGCCCGTGCATTGAATACATTGCGTTCATCTTTGCGATTCTTGGCAAAAACAAAAGATGGGTCTATTATATAATCGATCCAGACCAGGCAACTCGCCTTAAGTCCCTTTCTCACCGACGTGATGTGGCTTCTCTCTATCTTTTTCTATAAATATTTTCATGATGGCAACAACTAATTTAAGCGTCCTACTAGATTGGCAAATAAGTCCCATCGTTTTACGGTTGAACGAGCTAGAGGCAATCACCTCTACTCTAACAGTTTCTTTTCTCGCACTTCCAACTTGTGGATCTTATTGTCGATTTCTTGCTTTCCTGATAATTATAATCTCCAAAAATTTAAATGCAACGTCAATCACCATCTTCTGTCTTCTGGAATACTGTTCCTTTTTTGTACTTTCTTCAATCTTCCCCATTCGCATTTCTTCACCCTCTGTAACCCCATGTGGTTTAGATAGATAGATAGATAGATAGATAGATAGATAGATAGATAGATAGATAGATAGATAGATATGAACAGAATGAGATAGATAGATGTGAGATAGATATAGAGATAGATATGAACAGAATGAGATAGATAGATGTGAGATAGATAGATAGATAGATAGATAGATATGAACAGAATGAGTTAGATGTGAGATAGATAGATAGATATGAACAGAATGAGATAGATGTGAGATAGATAGATAGATAGATAGATAGATAGATAGATAGATAGATAGATAGATAGATATGAACAGAATGAGATAGATAGATGGGAGATAGATAGATAGATAGATATGAACAGAATGAGATAGATAGATGGGAGATAGATAGATGGGAGATAGATAGATAGATAGATATGAACAGAATGAGATAGATAGATGTGAGATAGATAGATAGATATGAACAGAATGAGATAGATAGATGGGAGATAGATAGATAGATATGAACAGAATGAGATAGATAGATGTGAGATAGATAGATATGAACAGAATGATATTGATAGATGTGAGAGAGATAGATATGAACAGAATGAGATAGATAGATGTGAGATTGATAGATAGATAGATAGATATGAACAGAATGAGATAGATGTGAGATAGATAGATATGAACAGAATGGGATAGATGTGAGATAGATAGATAGATAGATAGATAGATAGATAGATAGATAGATAGATGAACAGTATGAGATAGATAGATATGAACAGAATGAGAGATGAACAGTATGAGATAGATAGATAGAAAGATAGATAGATAGATAGATAGATAGATAGATAGATAGATAGATAGATGAGAAAGAATGAGAGGAGAAAGACGTTTGAAAATAATACGTAGAAATAGGTAAAAAATAAATAAATAAAAATAAACGAGAAACGGATAAAAGGAAAAAAGAAAAATAAATTCCTCGATTAATGGACGACATAAGTAGATACGAAATAAATATAAATGAAGAGAGAGAGAGATAGAGAGAGAAAGAGAGAGAATAAAAACAAGAACAAAAAGGAGTGAGAAGAGAATAGTTTTAACAAGAATAAAAAAACAACAACAACAAATAGATAATGCGTTGGAAGCGGCAAATAAGAGGGGTGAGAGTGTGGAACGGGTGTCTCACTTTAGAATTGAGAGGAGGGCAATTTTGCATCATCCCATACGCTAATTTGTTGCTCGCAAATGGCAATATTTTGAAAAGGTCTCCTTTTGTGGCAACCTTTCCGTACCGATTTGCGACGCTAAAAGCAGCAATCAGTCACCTGTGCCTCTTGGTCCTTATGCCACTCAAATGGAGAGGACAAAAAAAATCAAGCAAAGCTTCTAAGCATTTTAAAACCCCTCCTTTTCCTTCTTCCTGTTTCTATTTCTCTACGTTTTTCTATTATTTATTTTTTTTAACATCTTTATATTTTCAAATTTCGTTTTTCATTTTCTTTACGAGCACGGAGCTAACAAAAAAAAATCTATGTACGCGCTGAGAGAACAACTAAAATAAACCACTGATAAACGTCTTCTCTCTCGTAATTAAAATGGATTCTTAAAATCTGCTTTACAAAGTTGTCAGCATTTTCAAACTCCTCAGCTGCCAAAAAAGGAAACATTTAATTCCTCTCTCTTGCCTCGTCATAAACTTATCCACAAAAGCGATATTTTGAAAACTAAAATAATTAAAAACAATCCCCATATTTTACAAGAGTAAGCATTATAAATTTCATTCAAAACCGTTTTTTTTATAATAAATTTCACTGCATATAAGGCACGATGTACAGGGTTACAGACAAAATGTTTTTAATGAATAAAACCTGTGATATGAATAGAAAAGAACATGCTAGAATGTGAAGATAATGTAGGGTAGATAACGATTGTATCATGTCTTGAAGTGGTTAATTTTTTTTTAATCATTTCACCCCAAGCAAGGTGGAAAAGCCATTGATACTCAGGAGGTTACAGAGAGTGAAGCGACCGGAGAAGACGTCTCTTATATCCGGGTTTGGCCTATTTTATATACATTAACACAGGCTCTAATTTGGGACCAGAGAAAATCTCTCTTATATCCGGGTTTCTCTTATATCCGGGTCTCTTATATCCGGGTCCCTTATATCCGGGTTACACTGTAGTACACTTAAACCCACGTAGTCCGGGCGCCAGGAAAAAAAAAAAGCTCGGCAGAGCAGTTGTCATGAAAATATTCGTAGAAAAGACAAGAGTGAAGACGCGTCCTGTCGGTGAGAAAGAGACTGAAGTCGAGATTCCAAGTCAGGATTGATTAGATTGCAGATCATTCTTTGGAATTTGTCATGAGTAGCAGGAGCACCAGACCAGATATTGTAACAGTATTCAATGCACGGGCGAGAAAAAAACCTGACACGACACAATGGCCCAGCATTCCTTGCAGTTGATTTGATGTAGTCGTTCCTCTTCAAGTCAGTGGAAACGTGAGGCCAAGAAGCTACAGTATACTGTTGTCCATGAGTCTAGCAGCAGCCGTGGTGATGGTGGACAGGAAAGATTCTCTATGGTGGTTAAATGAGAGCAGTATCATTTTGAAGGTATTAAAATTTACAAGCCATTTCCTGTCCCAGTTAACCACAGAGTGGAGACCCCTTTTGAAGATCTGCGGCCAGGAATGCATTCAGGAAAGCATCCACTCAGGAATTTCCTTCACAAAGTGACAGATCATGTGAAAGGTCGAATTGCGTAGGAATTTCTTCTTACATTTGAAATACGAAGTATATGAGAGCGATTTGCCCCGCCCCGACCGTAGAACTTGCGGGCCTTTTGTTAGTCGTAGAGCGTCTTAACTGATGGTACATAACACGGAACATTAAAAACTACTAACAATGAATAAGGTTTTAACTGCTGAAACTAAAGAACCAAGCTAATCTCAACATGGAAATTGCTTGCAACTTTGTGTCTGTGAGGAAAAAGGTTGCAGAGTGGAAACTAGGTCATCCACCATGAGACTACGTCAGTCGTTTTAAGCTCTATCAATGTTTGAATGAGAGTATTAAGCAGATCTAGCTTCTCTAAACTCTACAACAAATACCTTGCTGCTTCTTGCTTTACATCTTGTTGAAAATCCTCTTCTGTAGATCTTCTCTTTAAGCCCTGTGTTAAACAATCTGATCCCGCGTATTATCGTTCTGTTAATCTTTTACCCCCTTTTTTTTTTGGCAATTTACTAGAGGCTCTAGTCAACTTCGAATTGCTTAAGCATCTCACTTCACGGTATTTATCATTTCACCCACGGGAAACGAATATGGCACAAGGCCGGTTTTATTGTGGGTTTCTCCGAGCCCGTAGGCTCGGCCAAAAAAATAGCCTTTTGAAGCCGATTAGACGGGTTCAGGCCCTGTCTACCTCCCCGGACGAAACCTTGCCCTTCGGCAAAGCCTCGTGCGGGTTCCTCTCTGCTAACGCAGAGAGTTCAACAGACGTCGGAAGTCAGCCCATCTCACTTCACACGGCCTTCTTTCAGCTAAACAATATGACTTTCCTTTCTCTCAGTCAACCGCCGATGTATTAACAGTTATTACTGAATTTGTCTATCAGGCTTTAGATAAGAACGGCGAGACTCGGGCTGTGGCTTTAGATAATTCGAAGGTGTTTGATAGGGTATGGTATGCTGGCCTTCTCCACAAGCACAAGGGCTATAGTGTCTCTGACCAGATATTTGACTTAATCAAATCATTCTTAACAAATCGGGTAATGAAAATAGAGTTGAACGGCCACGCTTAGGGATCATTTCACATTAATGCAGGGATCCTATAGGACTAACCTGGAACCTACGTTATTTCTTACCTTCACCAACGACGTTCCCGATGGCATAATCTTCCACCTAGATATTTAGCTGATGAAACAACTATTTACTCCTGTCTTAATAGTAACTCCGATAGGTCCGACAAAGTAAACCTTGCAGCTGCTATCGAAAACGACCTCCAATCAGTTGTTAACTGGTGCAAGAAAGGGCTTGCTAATTTTAACGTCTCAAAATTTAAGTTCTATCAACATGGCTGTGCTAACTTTCAGGAGAACAATTCATGGCACCTTATTTGTCTCATGGTTTCTACTGACATGTAGTGGAACGATTATATTGAATCAATTACTTGGGTTGCTGCTAAGACGTTCACTTTGTCGAGACAATTATTGTCGTCAGAATCCATCTAACACATTTACAAAACTATCATTTGTCCGTTCATTGAATATCACTGCCATATCTGGCATGCTGTCCCGGCTATATATCTCAATATTTTCGATAAAAACCAAAGAACTGTTGGATACCTTATCTGGTATCTCGACTTGAGCCACTTTCTTACTGCTGTGAAGTGACTTCTGTTTGACTTTTCTACAAATATTTTCAAGGCAATCGTTCTAATGAGCTCTCGTCCCTTTTTTTTAACTTAGCGGTATTAATTTATGCCTACTACTAGATATGCAACTAATTCTCACTGTTTTACTGTTGAAACAAATAGTAAGTAACCGTAAGTTATATTCTAATAGTTTCTTTTCCTGTACTTCTCACTGTAGTAAACAAAAAGAAGAAAGTGACGAGAGTGGGGTCAGAATGTGCAGTGCGCCGTTCGCCGGCAGACCAGCTATTCTTCATTTGTCGTCGGCCGCCTCAAGGAACTGGATTGCGAGACTCCCTTTCTCGGCCGTTACACCGGGCAGTCGTGAAACAGACACCAACTCAGCCGACGTGACGTGACGTCTCGTCCCACTCTACTGCACAAAGTCCGCAAAAATGACTCCCGACCTGATCGTGCCGCTGGCAACTCGCGTTTTTTATGCCAGTCAGATACGGCCGAAATTTGCATGTGTGCAGATATCGTCTCGTTTTGACGAGATCGGCGTGCATAAATTGTGTCTTCGATAGCAGCCATATTTCTTTTCGTCATTACTTTGCAGGCAAGACACGATCGCACTCGTTTTGAAATCCAAGGTAAGTCATGTCTTTCGTCACACTCACCTGTGTTACTCTCTTCCGATTTCTTGCTTTCTTGTCACCAACAATCTTAAAAAAAATGTGAATGTAACGTCAATCGCCATCTTCTGTCTTCGTGAAACCTTTTCTTTTTATTGTCCTTTCTTCGCGGTAAAATTTTCTCATTGTTTTCGCCTCCCAGTAATTCCTTGTATCATAATGGCAGTATTGCCTTGCTTCGAATGAAAAAAAAATATAGCAGCAATGCTCGTTTTTTGTGAAGATAAATCATAAAAGATCTTTCCTGGAGAGAGACAATGAGCCTATTATTTTTCTAGAATTTTTAGCCATGATGTGTTTCAATGAATTCCACTTGCATCCAAGCCAGTTGCAGAAATATCGCCTCTTCAGCCTTGTAATAAAAGTATTTACAAATGGAATTTGAAAACTAACAAAATGAAAGACATTATCATAATTTATAATAGTAAAGTCCATTTGAAAACGATATTTTTAAAGCTAAATGCCATATGATAGAAGACACTCAAGATAAAGCATTGCAATCAACATGCTAATAATAAATGAAATAAGAGGTATGAATGGAAGAGAAGGCGGTAAGAAGTGATGATTATGAAGATAAACAGGACGGGAAATGATTGCCCTTTGATTTAAATAGATCAAGATGCATTGTTCCGAGAAGGACACAGATGGGTGTTTCAACTACAAAGTGGTAGTTTCAGGGTAAAAGCTGTCTAAGCGGAACTTTCTTCTTGGAAGGGATTGATGGACTGGCTTGCGTGTACCTATGGCCGGCCTGATTTTATCTCCTACCAGAACCAATCTTGCCAGATATTTCAATAGATAGGGACCAGATAAAACCTTAGTCAGCCAAACTAGAAAAAACTTTAGGGGCAATAAACCTGCAGCTCAAAACTAGCAGCTCTCAAATTGCGTAGGTAAGCAAACATCAACAGGCGTATATATTTGATTGATAGGCAAGGAACGATAAC